TAGCATGAGCTGTGCTGTGTTGAATCCCACCATATCCTTTTTCTCAACAGCCTCCTTTACACATTTGGTTGCATCATTTAGCAATGTTCGAGCAGTCATCCTCTTCTCGTTCTGCTGTCTCAGCCTTTTCAGTTTTGCTTCCTTCTCTTTGCTCTCCTTCTCTTCCTTTTCACTGTCTATCTTCTTAAACCTTTCTAACTCCTCTGCCTTTCCCCCCTCTTTATTTTCTTTTTTGCTTTACTCCTCTTTAATGACACACTGTTCATCACAATATTGCTTGTAATGAACATGAACTGCTCTTGCCATCTATAAAAGCTCCTGTGTGATATTAACATGGTATACATTGTTTTCATATACATGATATAAAGTTTCTTTGACGATTAGGTGGGCATTCAAAGTTCTTTCTGACATCCAAGCCCTTTCGGTCAAAATGCATCTATTTTTTGAAAACCCTCTTTCTATGTCAGTAAAGGTAAAGGTAAAGGTTCCCTTGCTCGAAAGCCAGTCGAATCCGACTGCAGTACTACCATGCAATAATGATAATGCTCCTTTCACCACCTTGGTAGCCAGTGGGTATTTTGGATCTCCAGATGGGTGTGTCTTTTCCAAGAACTGATTCCAGTATGTATCTATGCGGCAAGTTTCACTGGCAGTTTCATCTTCAAGTCATAAGAAATTTCCATTCATCCGCAATCATGTCCACTGGAATATCCATTGGGAGTGCTGCTGCAACTTTCATTATATCCTTGTGGGTTCCTTCCTTGACCCTCTGTGCTGGAGCTAAACATTGAAGATAGCTGAAGACAGGCTTGTCCAAAGATGATTGGAGTAAAAGGTGTTTGCAGGCTGCTATGAAATGTTTATTTGCTCTTGTTAAAAAGAGTAGCTGTTCCTTTTCAGAAAGTTTTTTCAGTTCATCACAGATTCTACTTTCACTGATTACTTCTCTCACAGGTATGTAGTGCTCATCACTTCAAGAGACAATGGTGCTGAACTCTTACAAATTCTTGTGTTTTTACTTCACTGTGTATCACATGCACCAAAGGCTCTTCTTACTGGAACACTCTAGTGAACTTTGTAAATAAGCGGGCACTCATGCAAAAAAAATATCACCTCTGCTTTCATTATCTTGTGTTTTAAGAGGTTAATTATGTTTCTAGTTGTGTAAGATTTCATCAAATCACTTTTACTCTTAGGAACAAAGTCCTTAAAGTACTTCATAACTGAACTAAAAACAATCTGTCTTCTCACTGGGAAGTCATCATGTTTCCCCCAAAATGCAGTAATGAAAACAAAGAAACACAAACTGCATTCACAAAAATCAAAGAAATACTGACTTTACTGACCAATTTTTTAAAAAACTGACAAATTACTGACCAAGATGAAAAAACTGACTTTTACTGATCATTTCCCACCCCTGCAGCACACTGCGGCATATATAGCTTTCTCCTCCTCCATTTCATTCTCCTAACCCCATGAGGCTAACAGAGAGTGACTGGATGAAAATCACTCAGTTTGGCTAAAAGAGAGTGAATCTGAACCCAGGTATCCCAGGTCCCACCCTTGTACCACAGAGGTTCTAGTATTGCTAGTAAGTTAAGGTACTTCCTGTAGTTTATTTGTGCATGGTTTCCACAGATTCTGTCATGATGGTCACTAGCTGAAAAGCAGGATAAAAGTTCAATAAACAAAAAAAGTATGGCTGTCCACTTATTATTAACATTTATTAGCTGCCTGTGTATCTTACAGAATTCAATGTAAGGCTTACAACATGAACAATAACAAAATATAATACAATACATAAAAATCACTAGATTAAAATCAATCATTTAAAATGGCCAATAGGCAGAATCAACTAATTGAATAGCCATCACGAATAAAACTGTCCTCAGTTTCTTCCTAAAGATCAAGAGGGAAGGAACCAGATGCACCTCTCTAAGGAGGTTGTTCCATAATCATGGGGCTACCACTGAAAAGGGCTGAGTCTTGGGGATCTACTAGACAAGCTTCTTTACTCCTTTAACTGCTACCCGATCACAGTTAAATCCTATGGCTTGGATTCTGATAATATCCACCAACAGAAAAGGGATCTCCCAATGCAGACTTCGGATTCATCCCCTAATTCTGTCTCCCAGGGGCAGCAATTTGGGGAGAACAGCAGACTTTGGCAGGGACGGGGGTGGGGACAGGTAAGTTATATTCCACAACTGGAAGTGGCTTCCATTAGCAGATATCATTGTCAGGATCCAACTCTATATTTCTGCAGAGAAGTAGGTTCCTTCAATAAAGACCATACTGCCATTTTAGCAGTCATATATTGTTTTTATTGCAGTATAAAGACTAGAAACTCCCCACCACCACCAAATGAAAGATGGAGTTTTAAGGATTCTATCACCTATGTACTGTCTTTTTAAAAGATCCAGGTTTTGTACTTGCCCAGCCCTATGCTAGAAAGGCTACTGGGGCTGTGCATGAATGGTTCTCTTCCCATGTCTGCAGACTTCTTTGCTGTTTTTTTATTCTCATAAGGTACCCTTTAGAAGTGTTCTGAATCATAGAGAACTCTGTATTTCTAACATGATGAAACAGTATAGTCGTACCACTAGGTGCTGCTTATCTGCACGATTTAATAAGGAACAGCTTTTTGAAAATGCCAACTAGGTGAATTCAGAATGCTTCTCATCCATGCTTTCAAGCCAGCTTCTATACAAACAAATATGTATGAAGGGCACAGAAACCGTTGGCTAGCTTGGATAATTGGCTTTAACCAACTACTTTTTAGAATGTGGAAAAGCAACAAGGATAGCTCGAAAAGTTCCAGAAAGGTTTAATGTTCTAGAAAGATGGTGGAGTCTGGATGAATATATTATCCTAGCAAAGAGGTAAACATATCAAAAATGTTGGTATAAACACCATGCTTAATACTGTAAATGGTTCAAGCACGACTGGATTTTTTTCTTCGACTTTGAATTTTTGATGTCCCACTCTCCAATATGAGATGGGATCAGGTGTAAGGAAGTTTTATTTCATACTGAGGATACTCCTGTTTGGAGACAGGCTTTGAGATCCATACAATATTGCCTTACTGCAGGAATCACCCTAAGGTGAAGATCAGGTTGGCTGGGGCAAGTGGCAGGGCCTTTTTGGCCACTGTTCCCAAACTGTGGAATTCCCTCTCCAGGAATTCTCACTTATCTCACTTATTCTCACCATTCTCACTTATCTTCCAGACCAAACTCAAGGCTTTTTTTCTTCCAAAAGGCCTTCAAACTAGACTGAATTAGGAAGCAGTGCTTACTGTTTATATTCTGAGCCTGTTTACCTTCTTAATTATTTAAGAGGTTTTTATTTTAACTGTTTATTTTAATCTGTTGGCCTTCTTGAGGACCTGATGGTTGGAAAGGGAGTCTGGAAATGATCTGGTCACCTTGGTTAATGATTCTGTTTTTTAGTCTTTCTTGTCCTGTAATGTGTAGCACAGCTTGAACCTCTGGACTTACTAAAATTATTTTTTCCTGCTCTTCTAGCATAGTGCTCTGTGGTTGACTTTTACATTCTTCTTGACATACTACAATTTAAAAACTTGTACATGTTAATTTTACAATGGTCATAATACTTGTTAGTCTAGAAAAGTTAGTTATGTTGTATAATTCTCAAGCTGTCCTCAGAATGACAGCTTTTGGTCAGTCTGAAGCCATGGCAAATTCTGTAAGAGTATTGATAACTCGATTTATGCAGTTCGGTGATTTCAATGAGTTTAGGCATGTCTAATGCCTCAGATGATTGGGATGCAGTGAATTTCTGTGTCTCAGCTCTATATTTAGCTGATGTGTCCAGTTAAAACTCATCTTATTAGCACTAGCACTGAGGATCAGACTTGGTGATCTTTAGAATCTCTCTAAGCTACTATGCCCACCTATTGATCTTACACCATGAGGCTTAATCTTTCATCTTGAGCCAGCTGGGCACAACTCTTGCATCCTGCCACCTTCCCCAGCACCACAATAACACCTGACCTGTCTTTTTGGAGATTTCTATGGAACTGTGGTAATAAACCTGCCTTTTTTCGGGGTGACAACTTTTGTTGTCTGAAAGGCAAAATCAATCCACGGGTAAAATTACTTTCTTTCACTATTTTAATAAACTGGCTCTATGGACCTGACTCAGATGCAATATGTTCAGACTGTCTTTTTCTTTTTGATAGAACACGTCTTCTATCCCTTTTTTAATATGCTCTGAATAGGTGGAGAATGTTTCCTCGGCAGGGCACTTTCTCTCTCTTAAATGCACTTTCTAGAAAATATGGCAATTATAATGGGGGGGAAATACTCTTTGTGGACGGGGTGCTTCTTGTCCGCTCACTAGAGGACGAACCATTTTCTGTCGTGTTCCCAGACGCGTTCCCTTCCCTGGCCCTCTTCAGACACTGCACTCAAATCAGGGACCCCCCCATGTCTTCCTCAGCAAGCCTCACGCAGAGAAACAGACGGAACATGAAGTAAAGGTTCACGCAGCCGGAGTCGAACTCCTCCTCCTCCTCCTCCGTCCTAGGCCACGCTCCCCTGGCACCTACCCGCCTCCATTATGTGCTAATTTATCCCGCGTTGCGCTACTCGGCTTCCCCGACTTTCCTCCGCCCGGAATAGCGCCGCCGCAATGGCACCGCCCCCGCACCATCTCGGCCCTCGTCGCTCTCCTCTTTCCTCATCAGTCTCCTTAGCGCTTGCTCTCTCAGTCTAACTTGTTCCCAACTGAGTCCCGCCTCCTTCATCGTACTGCGCCTTACGAAGCGATCAAGGCGGGCTGACAGACAGCGTGTCCCCCCCACTTTAGGACCGACGTGAGGGGGGGGGGAGAGTTGGGAAGGAGGCGAGGTAGCGGGTTAGGTTGTGCTGGATTCTGTGTTCGTCCGTTTAAGCGGGTGGAGAAGGTGGACGCTATAGAGCCTCTCTCTTTTCGTTGTTTGGAACGCCTGTCATGGAGGAACTGAGGGAGGAACGGGGCGCGGCGGCGACGGCGGCGACGGCATAGTCGCGAGACTGGTGCACTGGTAGCTCTCAGAAGAGGGAACCGGTAGGGGAAGGTAGTTGGTGTGTGTCTCCACCCGGGGTTGCAGAGACATCTCCGGCCACTGCCTCACAGCTCCGGCGTCGCCGAGTCTTTCTGCCTTGCCGGGTGTTATGAAGGAAGTGAAGCAATCGGAGCTTCGGCGGTGGCAGCGGCGAGGAAATGCTGTATGAGGAGCCTTCGGAGTGAAAGGGATGGGGGAATGCGGGGCAAGGACGGATTAGGACAGCAGGGCTAGTAGGCGAGGGGGAGGCTTCGCGGATGAGGGGTGGCGGTAGCGTCCGAACCGAGACTTCCTTCGCGTCTGCCTGTCTGTCCTGCCTGTGAGGTTGGGTCATTGAAGCCTTCCCAGGGGAGAAGCAAAGGGCGTTCTCAGTGGCTCTGTGCCCGTAATAGTCTTGCAGACGTGGGGGAAATCGTGAGCCTGCTTAAACTACTTGGGGGGGTGGGTGGAGAGAGGAGGAGAATATTCATGCCGAAAACCCTTTATACACAGAGAAGGGGGGGGGGAAGGGGAGCCCTCCAGCCACCTTGTCTGCTGGCAGCAAGCTTCATGCTCCTTTTTTTGTTTTCGGGTTTAGATAGACCCGTCTTTGTATTAAATTTCATTACTTTCATAGCTATCGGGTGGTGGCAACTCACTATCTACCGAGGTTGTCTAAGACAGCTGAATCTTGGATGGACTCCATCTGACACTATTGGATAAGTAAGCTCTGAAATTTGAGCTTGTCCAAAGGGTGACTGTGGAGTCACTTGGATCTTGGCAGGCAACTTGAATTCACTCTGTGGTCCTAAAAGCCAACATTTCGTGGGGGGAAATGTTTGCATCTAATTATTTATGTTCCTTTTCGTAGAGTTGATGTAATGCAAGGTGCAAACAGTATAACTAAAAGCATAGATGTTTTGTGTGTCTTCAGTTCTAAAACAAAAATAGAGAATTCTTAACTTTTCCCCTCTAGATTGCCGACATAGCACCTTCTTTGAGAGGTCAATGCTGAATCTTCATGCTGTACACAGAGGTAACACGGATCTATCAAGTGTGTGCAGAGACTGTTTCCAGCTCTGTGATTCCATTGAGTCCATCGTTTGTGATTCCGAAGAGAAAGATTAAGAGAGGCAGAGACTAAATGGATCTTAAGACAGCAGTATTCAATGCAGCTCGTGATGGCAAGCTGCGGCTCCTCACCAAGTTGCTGGCAAATAAAGCAAAAGAAGAGGTAGCCTTGCTGATGTCAGAAAAAACAAATGGTGCCACACCCCTTCTAATGGCAGCCCGCTATGGACATCTTGACATGGTGGAATATCTGTTGGAACATTGTAGTGCTTCTATAGAAATTGGTGGCTCAGTGAATTTCGATGGTGAGACTATTGAGGGTGCACCACCATTATGGGCCGCATCGGCTGCCGGTCATTTGAAGGTGGTCCAGTCTTTGTTAAATCACGGTGCATCTGTCAACAATACCACTCTGACAAACTCAACACCGCTTAGAGCTGCCTGCTTTGATGGCCACCTGGAAATTGTGAAGTACCTTGTGGAGCACAAAGCTGACTTGGAAGTATCAAATCGTCACGGGCATACATGCCTTATGATATCTTGTTACAAAGGCCACAAAGAAATTGCTCAGTATTTGCTTGAAAAAGGGGCTGATGTAAATAGAAAAAGTGTCAAAGGTGAGTTTTCAATACCTGTTTGCAACAGAGTTGAAATAGGTTTGGTGACTACTTAAGAGCTCTATTCAGAACGTTCATCTGGTCTGACAGCTCAAAGGTTCAAAGTCCAAGAAGACTAAGTTTAACAGTGTGTTTTCCCAACATTTCTTTACTACTTAAAAACAAATTACTTGTACTCCAAATCAACAGGCCATAACTTATAAAAGTGATTTTTAAAAAGTGGTTGCAATATAGATGCAGAGATTTGTGTGTGGAGTACAAATTATGGATAACAGTTGTGAATATTTTTGGGAGTTATATGATGGATCTCTTCACATTTTGTAAAGGTGGGATCAGTTGGAAACTAGAAAGACTTTGACCACTGAATGGCAATATCTTGTTGGCAATATTAAAATAGAATATCCTACAAATCATTAAATTACCTTTGCATTTTTATGTACTTAGGCTTGTTTTTAATCAGGCCACAAGCAATGCTCCCTCTAAGCTGTGGAGTCTTGTGAGCAAAAATTCTACTTTGTTGAGCTACTGGCATTAAAGCTGTGAGCCAGCGCTTTGACTACTGCATACATTAGTTTGCTCTGGAGCCATCCTTCCTGAGCTAAGACAAAAATGTGTGAGTTGGAGGCTAAAACACTGCAAGCTAGCTCACACTAATTCAGCTTAGAGGGAACACTGGTCACAAGGATGTTCACTAATTTTATCTAATATATATGTATTATTAAACAGTCATGCAAGCAAGACATAATGACAATGTGATCACAAAAGATTCTTCTTTGTTCTTTTTGCTGTTGTGTATGCTGTATGACTACCACGGTTGTTCAGGAAAGTGTTTCTGTGGCTATACAATGGTAATCCAGAATGAGTCTGTATTTATGGATTATTTATTTATTCATTTGATTTATACCCCACCCTCCCTGCCAAAGCAGGCTCAGGGCAGCTTATCCCCACTGGTAGGCAGTATTACCCAATTTGGCTTACATTGAATCTTTACCTAGGGTATCATCTAAAATTAATACTGTGTTTTTCTCTGCTTTCATCCTTTTAACAGACCTGTGTGTTCTGTTTGGTGTTAGTGAGACATTCAATCAACTAGTAAGTTTCATTTTTTCAGTTAGAGGCTGCCATTATCTCACCTTCTTCCCAGAAGGCCAAAGGTGCAAATCTGGTGCTAGCTCCACACCACAACACTTTATCTATTAAAATCTACATTCTGTAAGAATGCCTAAAATCAGGGCATGAATTATCTCCTCACCCCTTAAGATCCAGCCTAATGAATAGTCCTGGAGAACTCAAAAGCTTTCACATTATTTTGTGTTGTTTTGGTTGCTCCCAACAGAAGCTATTACATACAGAAGCTATTACATTGCTTTTGTTTTTGGATCATGATTGTAATTACCTTGTCCTTTTGTTTTAGTTGAGGGCATGTCATGGCTTTTTAATGCTTCTTTCACATTGTTACTTTTTGGTAAGAATGTGAGTTGCTTCAAACAGCTACCTTGATATTCCTCCCTAGAGCCTGTCTCTTATCTGTATGCAGTTGAAACCATAAGTAAAAGATTGGGCATAACAACTAAGAGAGATTTAAGTCCTTAATTCTCTTACTTAAATCAGTAGGATTTAAGATTTCTAGTTCTGGCCAGATCATGTCCATTATGAAATACTATATATTGTTCGTATGTCAGATGACTCCCTGTCTAAGAGAGTACATGCTGAGCTATGAATCAGGAAGTCTGCAGTTTACCTCCATGGTGGACTCTCAGTTCCCCATATGCAATATGGGAAGGGTAATAGTGACCAACCTTAGGGTTTTTGTAAAGACTGTGTGCATTGAGATAATGTAAATGGTGGTAATGTTGTGGTTCTTGGTTTTTGAATGGGTTGAATCTGGAGGTGCTTTCCACTGACTTAATGGCATTTCCATTATCAGAACAGCATCTCCATTGGCAGAGGGATAGTTGATTTTTGCCAGTTTCCCCATCGCAGACCTTCATATCACAGTTTGTATTGGTCCCCTAACCCCCTAGAACTTCAGGATTCTCAGCTGTCATGCATCAGGACAAGGGAGGCAGGGAAGTCCTGTTCCATGAGCTTCACTTTGCTCACAGTTCTTTGGATCCAGCCCTTTTGTGTCTTCACTCTGTTTCTGGATGACTCATAACTTAAACACAGTTCTACCCTTACAGCAATGCAAAAGGAATGCTATTTTTAAAATGAGAAAAAGTCTACCGCTGTCACTGATGTTTGGCAGCAGAGCCTAACCTCCTCCTATTATACTGTGTTAGAGTCTCTGCATTGTTTTGATACAGTCATTAAAAAGAGCTGCGTCAAGGTCAGGGTTTCTTTTCAGTAGCCAAGTGTTTATAGTTGAAGATCTACAAGTAGGTACCCATGGAAATTGTCATGTATCTTTTTGCAGTTATAAACCATGGTATTGGTGGATTTGGGGAGGAGTTCAAAGTAGTTCATCTTAGGCATGGCTCCCCCCCCCCCCGGGGGGGAGGGGCTGGAATTCTTTTTCTATTTGCCATCAAGTCGAAGCTGACTTAAAGCAAACCTGTAGGGTTTTCGAGGCAAGAGACATTCAGAGGTGGTTTGCCATTGCCTGTCTTGGCATAACAGCTCTAGACTTGCTTGGTGGTCTCCCATCCAAGTACTATCTTGGGCTGACCCTGTTTAGCTTCTGAGGTCTGATGAGATCAAGCCAGCCTGGGCTATCTAAGTAGTCATGGCTTATTTGTTACAGTCAAAAGTAACAAAAAAAGTAACTTTATCAGCAGTTATCTGATAACATGTCTCCTTTTTGTTGTCAGCTTTTAATAAAAATCTGATTAATTTCTTCCCTGATAATATTCATTTTTCTGAATTATTAATAGGAGCAATTCAGTTCCTCCCCCATATATTCTGGTGGCTAAACTGGTAATGTTTTTTGAATATCAGTGTCAGTTTTGGTCTTTGAGTAATTATTTGGCCTTGAACTTTAGAAAACCACACTGAAAGTAAATGTGTCAGAGCTTGGTAAATGCTTTAATACTGTGTTTGTGCAGACTGGGGGAGGTAGGAATCTCACAAATGCCAGTTTCATTTTAAAAGCCTCCTTCTGTTGCTGTGAAGTCGTCATGGGTGCCTTACTTCAAGTTCCTTTCCTTCTGTTTATATATGAAATAGGAGACATCTGTGTGCACATTTTGCTGTAAAGCTTATATTTTGCTGGTAACATTTGAAAGGGGAGAGGAAGCACTCCAATTTCTGAACTCATGCTAAAGCAGCTTGAGGTTACAAGGAAGTGTGTGCCTTTCTTCATTTAAATCTGTTTCTTTATCAAAGCAGTAATTTACAGCAAAATTCACCATTCACTTTTGGAAAGCCCTTTATGCACAAACTTGTACAGAATCATTTCCTTCCTGTTTAAGTCCTCCATGCTATGGCAATATTATGAGCAGCAGTGCTTTCTGTCAGAGAATTCTGTTTCTGCCTCTTCTTTGAAAATACTTAGTTTGTGCTTGAAAGTATATGAGGGACCAAGCTTGCTTGGTATATTGTTGCTGGCATTGGGCTTGATCCTGCCTTTTAAAATCTTGCAGTTCAAGCTCTTCTGCTGTGCACTGCTACTTATATTTAAGTATAAATTGCTCAGTCTCCTAGTTTTGTTAGATTGCCTTCTGGAAGATATGTGTGAGAGCATGCTCAGGATATGCCAAAAGAACTATGAGCATTCTGCATTAATCTCACTGTAAATATAAACATGGCACAATCATGATTTATTGTTCTGAACTACTGAGTTTCCAGACTTTCCTCATGACAGCATGAGGAACAATCAAGTTATTTGACTTTGGAGAGATTCTGTATTAGGACTAGGAAAATGTTGTACTGTTTCCCCAGTGGAGCATTATAATGAAAAAAGGGTAACTCTGTGATGTTCTGTGTGAAACTTTCTATGTGAAAATAATGGAATTCTGTATATTTTTTCAGTGTATCGGTGATGAAGCTGAGAGGTAATTAAAAATATACAGTTTTGTCCTACATCCCATTGTTTATTGAGACTTATTACCAGATATATACATAAGAGTTTAACCTTGGGTATCAACTCTAATGTTATATTACACTGCCTCTCTGCTTCAGTGTTAGTCCTGAATTGAATCTTTGAATAACAAAACAAGGAAATATGGTCAGACAGGACATGATCAACCCATGAATTATGGATTTTGTGTACCAAAATAATTGTAATGTCTATGACTCAAGGATCCACAAGTTGTGAGTCATTAGTAATATTCTGTTGGAAGGTGCCTCTAATCTTGACGGTGAAATTCTTTGGACGTTCCATAGTTCAGAATAACATTCTCTTTAATTGACTTCTATTTAGTAAGCATCATCAAGAATTACATAGTTTAATTATCAGAAAAAAGGTTGTTGCAGAAGAAGTTAAAATAAGGTCTAGAATCACATGGAAATATTACTGTCAGATTGCCAGAATAGTTTTAAAAATCACATTTTTACATGTATGATGATGTGATCTCTTATCTGTAAAGCACAACATAAAATTTGATTAATAATTTTTAAAATCAAAATCTGGCATTAATAGATAATTTCCAGGCAGCTTTACCATGCAGACAAATAAAGACAATGATTAATTTTAAATGGCATTGACTAACTTCTTATTACTAGGAAAAATGTTGCACAATATCTTTTTTTTTTAATCCTCCTTTGTGAACAATTATAAATAGCAGCAGTCACTAGATTTTCAATTGTATGAATGCCGTGTGAATCCTGCTACCTGTTACAGAGACAGGATGTTCTGGGAAGCTGGCCAAATATCTTAGACTGAATCTTTACTACAGGCCAGTACATGGATAAGGCCAGTCATATGATGAGCTATTGGAGAGAATTTCAGGCTTTAGTTATGAAGCAAAAATGTTAGCATATTGTACTAATGTTAAAATACTTATCCTGCTTTGGGAATAGGACATTATCCCAACGTATGCCTGTTACTTGCTGCATAATTC